CTACTTAACATCGCTGTTTCGTCACATTCAAACCAAGAAAAACAATACACATTAAGAACTACTTAACATCGCTGTTTCGTCACATTCAAACCAAGAAAAACAATACACATTAAGAACTACTTAACATTGCTGTTTCGTCACATTCAAACCAAGTAAAACAATACACATTAAGAACTACTTAACATCGCTGTTTCGTCACATTCAAACCAAGAAAAACAATACACATTAAGAACTACTTAACATTGCTGTTTCGTCACATTCAAATTAAGAAACAAACAAACAAAGAACTACTTAACATTGCTGTTTCGTCACATTCAAACCAAGAAAAAAATACACATTAAGAACTACTTAACATTGCTATTTCGTCACATTCAAATCAAGAAACAATACACATTAAGAACTACTTAACATTGCTATTTCGTCACATTCAAATCAAGAAACAAACAAAAAAGGAACTACTTAACAAAGGTGTTATTTAAGAATATCAAACTATTTAAAGATAACCTTTAACCATGACACTTCTTCCATTGAAGTTTTAAGTTACATGAAACGAAATAAGTTAGACCGTTACTCTACTAAGCCTTGTTCGTCAACAACACTAAGCTAAACACTTTGTTTGTTTGATTCGGAGCAAAACCATACTGAGCTATCTGCTGTGTCTACCAGCAGGGAATCGGATCCTGGATTTTAGCGTTGTAAGTCCGTAAACTTACCACTGTCTCACCGGGGAACAAGTTAAACATAACACTGAGACAAGAGGTACATCAGATATAATTTGAACATTCAACATTTATACCCTGTCCACATCTTGTGAAAGGAAGAAGTTGCCAAGCCTAATATGCTGTTTTACTTAAGTACAGGATATATATTAAGTTTCTTATATTATTAAACGACATTTATCGTGAATATTTGCTTTGTAACCAAGAGGGGAAAGTCACAGACAACAGTAAGAAAATAAAAATACAGGAACATAAATAACTCAGTTTACATTTCATACTAAGGAGAAATAGATACTTTATTCAAAAGGTTATGAACAAAAGAAAAAATTACATAAGAAAACAATGTATATTACGTTTTGTTGAGAATACCACTGCATGTGTATATTGAACTAAAAATAATAGTCGCTAGAGGGCACAGTCACTGCAGTGAGTTGTAACGGCCTCGGTTAAATTATTTAGTGCATGCTGAGGACGTAAAGACGTCAGACGTTAAAACGAAGCGTTCGCAGATCTGTCAAACCCATGACGTCCCAGGAACAATAGTTCATCGCCAATTGAAGAATCTGAGTAAGTTTATTATCGAATAGTTTAATTCATAAATATTACTTATTAAACTTAAACGTACAAATACAATATACAGTTAAACTAAGCATCAAGGATAAAAACCTTAAAAAAAGCAAACCCTGATATCGTGGAATGTTGATTTAAACTATGTGTCGAAAGAACATCCGGGTGTGATAAGCAGTTACTAGTGAAAAGATTAATACTTCCGATCAACTATGGAAGAAAAATGTTTTATTTCATTTTGTACAGCATTCAACTGTTCACAAGAGAATTTTATCGGTAGAAATCACTTTACACGTATTTTGTTTTCACTCTACATTTTTAAAGCTTTTTCTGGTGGGAAGCAAAAAGTTTAAAACTTTTTGTTTATTTGTTTAGAATTAAGCACAAAGCTACACAATGGGCTATCTGTGCTCTGCCCACCACGGGTATCGAGTCATACCACTATGGCGCTGGGAGGCAATTTCAGTTATAAGTGCGAAATCTGAGATAAATCATATATAAATATGTGTGGAATTTTGTGTGTTTTCCTATCACAGATTCTCTTACTTACAACATATAGTGCGTTCCTGCAAGATTTGTCCGTAAAAAACTCTGAGAGTATACATATATACTTTCGTTACTTACACAGCTCAACAAATCTTTCTGACTGATTTCTCCATTTTCAGCTTTGCGAGACCTCTATAATAATAACATAATCCGTTTCAGACTATTGCATTGCATTGTGTTACCTATAATGCAAAAACAGTCAAACATATTACTTTTACATTTTTACAATTATGGAATATTTCAGAGGGTATATACAATTTTTTTTTCGGAAATTACTTTTCGCTTACCTGTGTTTTTAAAAGTGAACCTTTTTGACTCTTTATGTTGATATATTTGGAGAACCAGACCTAAACGTCGACCCATACTGTTTATTCTTTTTAATTTAATTTCAATATTTGCATATTTGTTTGTTTGTTTTGAATTTCGTGCAAAGCCGTCCCTAATTTAGCAGTGTAAGACTAGAGGGAAGGCAGCTAGTCATCACCACCCACCGCCAACTCTTGGGCTACTCTTTTTACCAACGAATAGTGGGATTGTCCGTCACATTATAACGCCCCCACGGCTGAAAGGGCGAGCATGTTTGGTGGGATGGGGATGCGAACCCGCGATCCGCAGATTGCGAGTCGAGCGTCCTAACCACCTGGCCATGCCGGGCCGTATATTTGCATATAAGCATGTTTAAATTAAACGCCACGAAGTGGGCTGATGGTTCGACTTCGACACTATTTTGAAGTATATTTAAATTTACTGAAAGCGAGAGATGAAGAGAAGATATATACTCTTCCATAGCTTAAAGATACGAGTATTTTTATAGCCGAGTATATGGATGAGACATAGATGTCACCAATGACATTCTGGTTCTTTGAATATCATATTTGTTCATTCTACTCTGTTGCTTTCACGCGTTCTAAATGTTTACAGTAATTTTTATTATTCATTAAAATATGAAGGTAATCGAAAAAATCTAATATTTTGTGTGTGTGTGTTTGAAAATACATCACAAGTACTTGTAACTAGTTCGCACGATCAAACAAAAGCTTTCATGTCGTATTTTTTAAGGTATCAATTTTGCAGAGCACGATACAATAGTAATGACTAAAGCAGTAGTGGTGGCGATAGCACAATATACATATATCAGTTAGTGTACGGTGGCCATAGCAAAATATATATCCTTTAATGCTTGATGGTCATAGTAAAATATATGTACATCAATCAGTAAATGGTGGCCATAATACAATATATTTATATATATGTATATATAAATTAATCACAGAATGGTGTCCATAACACAATATATATATATCAATGCATGATGGCCATAGTAATATATATATATATATATATACATATATATCACGGCACAATATATATTTCTGTGAGTACATTATGGCTATATCAGATGGAACGCATATCTCAATCAGTGCATGGTGGCTTTAGAAGAACATATATATATATTTCACTTTAATCACGTGAGAATTAGAGTCGATGAAAGATGACATTGAAACTATTGAATAGCAGTAGCAGACTACGTAATGATTCTTTAATAGTTTGAGATAGTACAAACATCTGTTTTCACAGACGAACCGTATATACACATTACAATGAAAGTTAATTATACTTCGCTTGGAAGTCACAATATTGTATTTTTGAGATTTTAACAGTTTCTGTAAGAAAGTATACCAAGAAAATGACTATTGTAATAAAGAACAACGTGTGGGACAGTTCTGTGAAGACAGAGCGCTTGTGTACTACAGCCCCCATGTTTACATATTAACCACCCGTATAGAAGTGAACAAAAATAAAAACAAACCTTGTAGTAACAGTCTTGGTTGTTCTAAACACTTCGAAATTGTTGATGAAGATTCACTAAGATTCATCAGAAACCTAGAAGAATATACTTATTGAATGAAGATTCAAGATTAACAAAGCATCTTAAGAGCATTAGCCTTAACTAGTAACAAGGAGTTTGTTGTAAATAACAAAATGTCGAATGAGTACTTGTCTTAGTTATGATGTCTTTACCACTATCTCTAAACGAGATAATCATTTAGTAAAAACACAATTCACTAAACTTGTTTTAAAATATTTCAGCTAGTTGAGTCTTATCGTATCAGTTTTGAAATGTTGTTGTTGTTGCTTTTTAAATGACATTTTGCATTTCTTTTTTTATGATTTTCCTTACTGAGAACTTTCTAAAAATGTAT